TAAACCTGTGATTGGTTATCATCGCCACCAAATTCACCACTAATCCATTCACTAATAGATGTCAAAACCGTTCACTGAAATGAAGTTTAGCCTTTGTTAGAAACAAACTATTTAATCCGAAACGTCGGGGCCAGCATTATCCCCGTGTACATAACAAGTTGAAACCAGGACACTACAAATTATCGCAGAAAGAATTTTATTCACCACAAAGGCTCGACTCGAGATGAAAAACAACTTACCAAAACCCCGATTGACTTCTAGTTCATTAAACAGTCAATAGGGGTTGTCAAATCTGAAGGGTTTGATACATTTCAGGGTTGCAGTGCATCGGTATGATTGGTTTGTTTAATCGGCGACGCCATGGCAACCTGGATAGTGTTGTCCATTGCACACGGCGGAGAGTCGTAACCCCAATATGGAGGCGGCGACCTGTCAAATCTATTAGAAGACAGAATTAAATTTGCTGAGGTTTTACATTTTAACCCCACAGTGACAAATATTGATGTTGTTAGGAAGGTGTAGTCTGGGCACAGTTCATCAAAGGCGAAGGGTACGTTATTTTATTGTGGTTACCTGTGTAACAGTGTTTGCTGTTTGGCATGACTGCTGAAATTATCCGTCGCACTCAACATTTCACTAATAAATAATTCAGTGTGTTTAAAGAAACTTATAACAGTGGCAGCTGCATTTATACTTAGTGGAAAAATCAAAAATAAAATATAATCTATTACTAGATGGTTGATATAATAAAATCTTTGTGTGTCTTTTTTAAAAATTGTTGGCCATTTTGTGAGATTGACAAATATAACGGACTTTTCCCGGGCTACGAAGTAGCAGGACTGAGGACTTCATGAGAAGACCACTTACAGCTATAACCAGTGGAGTTCGATAAAAAAAAAATATTTATATCGACACCAGACCGAACTGAAAATCGGTAGCTTTTTCACATGAAGACCACACCCGAATGAGTTTATTAACGGCGTGCGGTGATCGGTGATTTAAGAGTCGAAATAACCGTCTGGGATATAGTCACGGCGACAGCTTAGATCCGGTCTCTTGTTGTGGATAAATTTGGGGAGGGTTGAAACTCAATAAATCCTAAACTGTGACGGTTTGTTGACCTTGTACCGGATAACGTTGAGGTCATGGTTAAACGTTGAGCTTTTTATTGCCACATAACGGAAACGACCGTGTACCGTCGTTTTGTCTGACAACACTGCTCGTGATTAGCGATTAGAACCGCTATATACTAACTTGTTCCATTCGAGATCAGTGGTTTCGCGTTAGCTGCAGTTCTGTAGCTCGCTTGGTTTCGCTGTCGGTTATTTTGTTCGTCGTGGTGTTAACGCGAAACCAAGTTAACCATCTGACGATCATACGGTCTGTTTCCCGAAACAACTGCAAAACACTGAATTTTAAGGTAGTCGTGTTCAGCTAAAACAAGTCAGATTTAGCCCGTACTTACATTTCTTAGCCCGTGGTAAGCGTGTGCTCATGTTTTCTTAGCACGAGCTAACGTTTTTGACCCGAGGCTGTGCTAAGGAACAGTGCATGACGCAACTATTGTCAAAATGGATAACCCGACTCGAGGCAATGGCAGTCTACGCCCCCCCCCCATATTGGTTGATTTCATGACTGTTTTTATTTTACTTGTTAGCGAACTGGGGAAATATTGATCACATTTATCAAAATTGATAAGATTATTCATATGTAACCGATCGTTTAGTTCAAACAAGAAAACGGTTTTGTGATTTGCGTTTTGTACTTGACAAAAGCAGCTAAAATTTAGCGATAAAACTGGATTACGGAAATGTTATATTCAAGGTATAGTACGTCACGGTACTTCCCTCAAATCAGCTACAAACGAGACCAAATCACCACCTTTACGGTAAAAACCCACTCTCCGTCTGATTCCTTGTTCTAAATCCGCTCTGCTTGTTGCGATTGATACAGTGGCGCGCGACCCGTAACAGCCTATATCAATCACTGAGTTAGCGAACACTAAAAATATAATATTACCCAAATAAGTGTTTTACGCACCTTTTCATCTGTGAGAATGTGAGTGCCGAGCCGGACTTTGGCGAATGAGCCCGAACCTATCGTCTCCCCTAAGATATAATTGCCAACTTTCTTCTTCTTGTAGGTCTTCCCGGCTGATGTTCGCCGGCTGGTATGCAGAATGTCCTCTTCTGTCAACGCAATGCAGTCAGCCGCCATGATTCTGTATCGAACCGCCCCGGGGGAAACGTGGTATTCGCGACTCAGGTGATATCGATCGATGACCTAATGATTGTCGTAAACAATTTGAAAACTCGAGTGACTTCAGATTAGACGCGATAACGCTCAGATCCGTGTGGATTTATCCGTGCCTAGCTATGACACTATTGCTCAGTACTGTGTGAAATTACCGAACGGACGTGACACGACGACGTGAATTATGCAGCCCGCGGCGCGACAATAAAGGTTGATCGCAAGTCGTGAGTACTTGCAACAATCGCACACAATACCCTATGCCGTGCCATCAATACTCTAAATTCAAAAAGAGCGACAAACATTCCAAAATTAATTTAAGATTTCCTCTCGTATATCACGCGCATTAACTGACCAGGCGATTGTTGAACGGCAAAGTTAACCGCGAAAGCAAACTTTCATTGTATATCAATTTGTTTACCAGACGCTTCGACAAGCCTGGTTGATTCTTTTGTAAATATTGATCTAAAACTGAAATGTAAGTTACAAAACTCCGAAACGAAAAAAAAAAAAAAAATCCAGCCAGCGATCGGGTTACTGATTTTTTTCTAAATCAGTTTTAAGAAGTCTATGTACACCACCCTTCTCCTTGAGTGGATGCGCTCACGTTGTCAGCGTATTAACGGCGAGATTCTGTTCGATTTCATATCAGAGGGGACATGAAGTGTAAATAGAAAAGTCATCAAGATCGATACCTGAATGGAATGAACGCATGGGAAATTACAAAGTAAAATAGCGCCCCTCAGCTTTTCCACTTTAATTAACAATAGACTCTCACTGAAGTCAGGTAAAACGTCAGTCACGTAGTTGTACTCACGCGTGCATGTCGACTCTTTGATTCATTGGCAAGAGGAACAAACTGTTCGCTGAATATAGATGCCTTGATTTGTTTTTGTGATGACTCAGAAGACACGCTTTCTTGATTGTTTCAAGGTTATTTTAGCTTTAGGTATAGTATGCGGGATAATCAGATGTGTCTATAGTCTAAAGAAAAGACATGTCCCGGATGACGCTTCCTGGACGAGCATCTAAACAATAAAAAACTTGGCATAAGGCGTGACACCTAATGTATTCAATAACACCAAATTATTCCCAGTTGTGTCATTCAGAAGACGTCAGTAAGATTACGTCTAGAATTGCCAGTAATGATGGGGAGGGGGGGGGGGTCGTTTTCTGATCTGAGTATCAATTCTTAATAGAATATACCCGATAAGTGGCGAAGTCAATCTGCTCCGGTTAGGCTGAGAACGCAAAAGTTGCACGCCGTGAAATGAGGTGAATCCGCACTATAGTAGACGCAACGGCTCTAGCATGTATCACTGTTCGGGATCGACAATTACACGCCTAGTTACTTTAGTTGAGGGCGCACGTTGGAGTCATACTTTTACATGTAATAGACGTTCGCATGGCAAAATAAAAAAAAATGCCACCACGATTGTCACGTTTCTGGATGTCATTGTTGGCGCCTCAGCGCTTGTAAAGACTGGCACTTGAGTAATCAGTTGCGCTCGTAGGGGCTTTTTGTTAGTTTCAGTGGTCAGCATGGTTGGGCCATATATGGTATACTAGTATGAAGAAAAGTTAGTTTTTTGTATCCGCTGGTAGCGGGACTATAATGTGCATTGTATATTGATGCATGTTTATTATGGGTATGTATACATGGAAAGCGAGGGCACAGGCAGCCGTCATTGAGCAGATTGTATATATGCGACCAGTACAAACTTGGCAGTGCGAGTTCGTACACGATTTTTTATGCATGTTTGGTTAAAGGTGCTAACTTGACTGTGATTAAAGTTGACAGTTTTTGCATCAGGAATTGTGGACTTTACTAAATATTGATGACGCGTTGCTAGTTGATGTTAGACAAGGTCCAAGTCCTAGTTTTGCGTTAACTGATGCATCATCTGCTGAGTGATATTGGGTGGTATAATGTTGGCCTGGATGGGCACGAATCTTTGGGTAGATGGTTTGATGCAGAAAGCATCGAGATCCACGTGGCTGACGTATATAGAGCTGAGGGGAATTCTTCGCATGTTACTTTGTAACAGTACAAGCATTGTCGAATTACTCGGCTCTTGTTAATTGCGGCAATTATTAGCAGCAGATATGTACCAGTCAGACCAGTGACTGCAATCCTTAACAGTAGCTTGACTGGGTGATCAGTCGTATATGCAGGAGGATGATATTTGTTGACAGGGGAGGCTAATATGTGCATTTCGTGAGCATATTGATATACTGAAGTATGTTTATGACCAGGATGATGAACATAAAACCATGAGTATGTGGTTGGGTGCTGAAATCAGCAAGAGGTCCACGTGGCTGACGTGGAAAGAACTCGAGGAGTTCTTTGCATGTTACTTGGTACATGGAACTATAGTTCCATACTTGGTAACAGTGCAGGCCATGTCGGGCTTAATGTGCTGGTACGCACAGATAATTAAAATGTGGTTGGAATACTGCAGAGTGGCAGTAAGATACCTGAGCTGCAGGAGGTCCCGGGGAGGGGGCAGTTGATATATGAAGGATTAATTAGTGTTATTAAACCTTCACGTCAGAGGTACCAAGTTCAGGGAATTCTCCACCTTTCTATCGAACAAAGACACACAGAGAATCGAATCGATTCAGCCTCTCATCTCAGCGTCACGTCGGAACTCTCCCAAGACTGAGTTAAGACTGCGTCAAGGCTGCCCCAGGACTGCTTGCCTAGGGGTGATCTTGCGATAACTAACTGTGATCAGCTTTATTCACTTCTTAACTGTTAGCCAATTACAGAGAAGTTCAAGAGCACGAGGCGTGGCTTCCACACATATAGCCAATCTCGCAAAGTAGTCAACACGCCATAATGTCTGATTAATTGCCCCCAATATCGAACATAACTCTCATATTTATAGGCGCCTCGTTGACTTAACCAACTTCCATAGTCGACCATTATATCATTATTCCAAATAAAACAGTATAAAACAGTAATAAAAGAGCATCTCCAATAGAAGCACATTTGTGAGGAATGTGCGCCCTCTTTATTCCGTGTTAAATCTCCGTTTAAATGTTGATTGCTTTGTTTAATTTCTGGGTTGATGTATATATCGATCTAAGGTGGGGGAAATTCGCTATATATGGACCCATAAGTATACCAAATCGGAAAAATATTACCTATATTTATACATATCTTGACCAGAAATAAGACCGATTTGGCAAGTTCTATGTATTGCCCCCCCCCCCGAACATGAGGTGGCGTTGAGTATTGCGAATGCTTGGAATGTCTGGGTTAGTCCCCGAGTAGCTACTAAGAAATCATAATAAGAAAGCGAATATGCTTATTAAATGTATTTATAGTGACAATTGGCGCATCAATGGTAATGTAATTGATAACATAAACGATAACATGCATGGTATCCACCATGCAGGTATCGCGTTATGTTCCATTCGGGCCAATGGTCGAAAAGCGCTGAAGAAATAATACTAGTATTGGGTAATGTTGTTTGTAATGTCTGGGATTCGTTTGAAGTAAGAGTCTATGATGATTATTTTTGACAATGACGGAGTTTTGTCTATGTGATTCATTTAGATCGCTTGCCTGTGATTTGCTCTGTTATGTACGGCGTGAATTAAATATAAATATTACAAAAAGATTTAAATGTATTTTGATTTAGAAATTCAATTCAATAACGCCCTCCACTGTTTCTGGTTAAATGTGGTTTTGGCCGTTGGTGGCGTTTCTGAATCCACAATGCTTTGCATAAGAAAGCTGCGCCTTTTGGTCACTTTTTGGTTTACCGTCGACGTGTGTGGTTTCGTTCCACCCGAATTCCTTACCTGTACGCAATATTAAGACGAAGGAACCTCGCTCTGCGGCTGATCTGCCCTGGCTCGGAAGATGAATTCTGATTGGCTAAAAAAACAAAAAAACTTGTAGCGTTGAATGCACGTTCATTGTCAGTATTGTTATGCAAATTCGAACTAGCTAATCATTTACAACCTTCCGAGCCAGTGCAGATTAGCCCTCGCTCTGCAAGTTTCGTGATACAACAAAGACCGGCCACGTGGTGAAGTCTAGCACGCCATTCGGACCAGCTGGAATGTACTTGACATTTATTTGATAAGTAGACCCTATTATTTTCTATACTTAGAACATATCTTGTAATGTAACTTTATTTATATAATTGAGTGGTGTAACTTAATTTATATGTTTATGGCCATATTATTGATTTATTTACAAGTAATATAAATGAAAGTAAAATATATTATCCCATACATTTGTGTCATTATTTGGTAATTGTTCAACCTGAGAAACGTGGGGGAATTTGTCCACCCTTGGCTCTTAGTTGAAATCGTGACATGCTCACATCAATTTTTTTGAATATTATGCACTAATTTGTTATATTCTATTGCATTACTGTGGTCGTATGTATATAATTTTATATCTGTTGTATACTTTTTAGTAATTGATGTAAACCATGATGTTAATTGAGACTCGTCGACTTTTTTTTGCAGATTTGAAGTTATTCTCGGTTGTTACATGGAAAGCGTATCTGAGCTTGTCAACAATCCAATTATCCTATGCTCCGCATTGGCAGTACAACAAAATTATATTACGTTACACCACGTGTTTGTATGTGTATACACGTTCAATTAGTTCCCTTTCTTATGTCAGATGGCTTGGGTGATTGGCTGGCATATTATTTTTGCTACTCTTTGCGATCAAGGCGCTCTGCCACAAGTTTCCTGCTCGATTCAAGTTCATTATTAGTGGTCAAGTAAATACAGCTTCGGAATGCGGAACTTTCATTGATGCAAGCTGACTGTCTTTTAAGTAGTGACGTCACCTGACCTGAAAGACTAGCATCCGGAAATTTGCACGCCTTGCAACTAGATTTCCCTCTTTTCATCGCATTTTTAGTTAGGCATTTACCAAATTTCTGTTGGACACCTTATTTATTATTAGGTGAGAGCCCCTTGTGTGCCTAACCAGACCTTCAGCACTTGATTGGAGGGACTGTGGCCTAACTTGCTTGTTCATGAGATGGTTTCCGTCGGTAGACTAAATCAGTTTCTTGTTGCGCAGTCTGTATAAAATTCACTTCATTTAGAAACCCTTTCACATAAACAAATATACATTCAAATAAATACAGTAACCTTTTGACATAGCAGTGGCTTAATTCTTCCAATATTTGTAGTCTATGGGAAAAGTATGTAGTGCCCAAGAACTACTAGTAAAGTCATAATTGGTGCTCTTTTGTCTTCTCTATCCTACAAACTGTTTTGGTATTTGTAAATTTCTTCGTATTTGCAAATATTTGACAAGACTGGTACATTTCTTCAGTTTGGTCATCAATTTTACTTCACTTCACATACATAACAGAAAGAAAGTCATAAGAAAAATATTTCTTTTCTACATTTATAACTTTATTTCTTTACAACTTATTCCATGAAATTCACACAAAAACTTTTCTTACAGCTGCTATACAAGCAAACAAAAATTTGACAACCCAGTCGAGTTATACAGAGCTACCCAATGACTATTTACATAAAAACCTTGCTCAAACCTATCCCTTGGTGGCGCCACCAAACTCTCTCAAGTGAAAGAGCGCCACCAAGTGGCCAGTGCAAATAAAACCTCCATTCCACATTTGCATAAGTTTTAAAACATGGATATTCTAAGCAAACACCGTTATGCGAGCCACATAAACTGTAGCTTTAGCAAAAAAAAAAAACTTCTTAAGTAAAGAACTTTGCATCATATACATATGTACAAAAAAAGGCACTGTTCTCCCAGAACGATTTACCCCTTTCAGTCGTATTCATGCGCCACCAAAAAAAAGTTGGTGCAAATATTGCAAGTTTTCTGTAGAACCACAGGAACACACCAACAAAAAAAGTATAAACAAAGCAAAATGTTTTTTCTGCTTACAACATCTAACAATGTTTACTGTTTTTGATAACAGATGTCTACACACACCTGCAGTTTGGTAGATGTTAATTTCAACCGTTTGTTATAATGTTTCTGTATGTCTGTACTGTTATTTCATTCACTGTGTTGGTGAAGTAAATAAATTACAATATATGCACAACTTTTCGCAGTCGAGCAAAAGACGCTGTAAAAAAAGTTACCACTAGTGGTCCCTTATTTCTCCTTTGCACAATAAAAGCAGTTCTGAGTAATCAAACTTCAGTAAACTGATAAAGTACAATGGGCAACCAACAAATGTGACTGAATCTGGAGGTCTATGCTACTATCTTTAAAATTCCCTAAACAATATTTTTTCAGTTTGATTTTCCAATCAGAGACAAGTACTGACAATAAATGGTGGTTAGTTTTTGAGCATTAAATGGAAACTTTGCATAGACATCCCAAAACAAACAAAAAAACATATTTACTTTTCCTGGTATTCATATTTCATGCTTTCAATCATGCTATGGCCTTCCCATAGAAAAAAAACTGTCATTAATTGGCATAAATTTGCATTCTTGAATATAATATCAAAAAATGATTTCAAAAAACGTAACAACACTCAAATATTATTTAAAAAGTAAGATCTCCCATTTAAAAAAAAGTTAGTTTGCTTTCAAAATTCCAGAAAAAAACTAATTTTTGTCAGAAAATTCATTAACGGATATCAAAATGCAGACACTGTTAATAATTGATTTCCACTGGTTAAAAAAAAAAAATGTTTATATATCATTTGAATATAGAAATTTTAAAAAAATCTGGTTGCACGATAAAATTAAATACTTTATTACGTATAAGATTTCAACTCTGAATTAAAAATTAATAATATAATAAATGCACAAATTGTTGCAATAATTTACCGTGGTGTATACGGTTAACGTCATCTGGCAGTTATCGAAAACAGTCAATACTATTTTCAACACCCATATTCTGATTGGAAAATTACACTTATGAAATGCAATCAGCAACATCAGGTTTCAGATCTTGGGAGTGTTTTATTATATACTGACCTGAGAATTCCCATGAACACTCAAGACGGATTTCATTGTTAAAATGAAGCAAGACAAATTTCGGGGAATTTTGCGAGTCGTGTAATTTTGTAGCAGAATTGGGTGCTTTAATACCAACTTGGAGGGTACTTCTTTCTTAAACTATGACATCCAATCAAAATTACTGGACTACCTAAGTTGTTCAAAATAAGCAAAAGAGGCATATTGTCAAAAGAGCAAACGAATCATCTTAAATTCTCTCCAAAACTGAGGGCACCAAGTACGTGTGTAATGGAATGTTGATTTGTGGATTGGAAACATGATAGTTTAGTAACTTATCTGAAGACTGCATATGTACTGGGTCCTGAGAACTGATTGGTAATAACGTTTGCATAATATCCATAACGATTAAGAAAATAAATACTGCACAAGGCCAATTAAAGTTCTTCAGCTCAGCTCACAGCCTTCATATTAAGGGACACTTAGGTATTTTATATTTTGTTGGTTGAACTTGCTTTTATCAAATGCTAACCCCACAGTTTTTGGGAGATTATGATTGTGTTTGCACAATGCCCAAAAGAGCCCGAAAGTGATTCGTTTTGACAATAATCTGATAACAGTAATGCCTGCAACTCGAGAGTGCTTTCAAATTGTATCTACAATATTTTCACTAAAACATGAAAATGGCAAAGTATATTTACAAAATTTCAGATTGGAAAAAACCAACATACATTGTTACCTTTCAACATGATTAGGATATTACCATCTTTCCTCTATTAGCAACACACCAGCAAATGTAAAGCAGATGTTTCTTATTATTCATTAATGTCACCATGGTATTACCATGGTGATTATTTGAGTCGTATTTAAAAAATAATCTGCCATATTCTGATTCTGATTAACGATGGTATCCAGTAAGTTTGATTGATGAATTGAAATAAAAAGCGGTTGTTGTAATTTTTTTCAAAATCACAGCAAAAATAATATTTTCTGTGTTTCAAATAGAGAAATATGGTGATTGGTCAACAAATTCATAGAAATATATATCATGCGTCTTTGTCCTTGGCCGGGAAATGAGCTTGGTTCGATTTGTACAATCACTCCACCCATCCTGAACAAGAAATAATCGAAACAAGATATTGAAATCCAGCCCTCATGGTTATGCAACCTTTTCAGTAGGACAGTTTCATAGCATAGATGATATAGACTTAGTACACTGAAAGTAGGGCACAGTCAGTGATAGCCCATACACAA